GTAAATATCCTCTGCACGCTTATTAGCACGATATGATATTTTCAACACGATATGGCGTTGACAGTCCTCTGAGCACAAAATTATTGTTATTTCGATTTGTTGAAATTATATCACTTTGCTAATTATGAATGCAAAAATTTATTAACAGTCGAGAGAATTACAGAAAAAAAGAAAGCTGAAAGCCAATTATAACAATTAATTACTCAGGAGCAAGCTAGAAAAGATTATTTACCCATAATACTTAGTAAAAAATGAAACATGGAGGACCGGTAACAAAACATATCACGTGAATTTTCGTGACAATTTTTTTTATGAGAAAACCCATGTTTATTTAATTAATCAAAAAATTTTTTTCTAAAATTTTGCGAGAATTAAATCTCCAAGTTATAAAATAAAGATTAAGAAGTTAATGTAATAATAATTTGACTTTCGTCGATTATTTTAGTTTCGACTATTATAGTTCGTCGAAACCTAAGGGTAAATTAATTGTTTATATTTGTACCCGATGCAATACTTTTGAGTGCCACTGTATTTAACCATCAGAAACAAAAGAAAAATAACAACATAAGGCGAAATGGTTTCAGGTCAAAATCTTGAATAAAGTTTTGGTAATTAATACGATCGGAGATAATAGATGGCAAAAAAAAATAAATTTTGTTTATATTTTTGTTATAATAAAATTTTTGATTGGAAATTAAAACGCAATGTACTTTTTGTCGAACAATTCTACAATTTTTTTCTTTAATTTTCGTCTTATAAACTCCGGGTATTTTACAAATTGTACTCCATAAACCGGGAGGGTATTATACACATATACACAGGGTACTATATTCAGTATATTCAGTGCTATTCGCAAAGGGCCCATATGACAAATTATAGGATTTCCCGAAAAAAATTCTCAATTTCCAAGGTAAGCAAGCCTTGCTTTCGGGGGTAGGTTTTTTGCGATATTTAAAACACTTTTCGGTATTCGAAATCAAACACAGGAGTGGTGTGAAAATTTCTGACGAATGACATGATTCACTATTTGATACCACCAACGTTACTCTTTATAGAACGAAAAAATAAAAAGGAGGATGTAATGCCATATTACATCATGGAAATCCCAAATTATCTTTTTTTTGCCTCAAATCAAATTAAAAAAAAAATGATGTATATTTCTTTTTGAGGGGTTTATGGACTATGAAGAGGATGATTTTGTTTGTGTCGATTTTCATGGCAAGTAAAATAAATTCAATTTTGTGCTCGTTATTTTTGTACATGTATATATATAAGTGAGGGTAATATAAGGTTTGTTTTATCATTAAAACTATCAAAATTAAGGATCATTATTTTTGCATTTTAAAGCAATTAATTATTCATTATTACAGTAACTGGTTGATTCATTGTATGTCAACATAATAATATATTTGTGATTCAAATAAAAATTACATTAATGATTTTGAAAGTTCTCGAGTTAAATCCAAACAAACCATGCTCTGTCAAAAGGAGAAATCAGACTTTTGAAGATGAATATTATTCAGAATGGAATGAATATATTTCAAAATTCCGAAATGCGATTTATTATGATGAAGCGGAAAGCAACAAAATCAAATTATGAACACTGTAAGAGCTATAGCAAAAAAAAAGTTTTTGATTCACCACACCTAACAAAATTTCTACGTATTACAAAAACTTTAAATGTTATATAGAATTAGAATAATCAATAACCCATCAAATAAAAATTTTGTGTTGAAAGTAATGATAATAAAATAAATTACATCGTAGAAAAAGTATATAAGAACCCAATGAAATTGGCTAGTGATTGAGATGATGCTCATGCACCATGATCAATTTAAATAAGGATCGCAATCAGCTTCTCTTCATCGAAAGTTTATAATGAACAAAGCAATAATAGAGCTACTACTCAACCTACAAAAATGAAGAAAAATGCTTGAACGATCTCTTTTTATACTCCATCAATGGTAAATTTTAGCCGATCAGCGTATCTCTATAAAAAAAAAATGGTTTGGGCCTGCATATTTTATTCATCGAAATGGTAATCTCCGACTAATTAAAATTTCATTTCCCGATCCATTGAGTTAGGTGCTTGATCACCTACTTACACTTTTGCTATTCTTACAAAGTTAGTATTACCTGTTTATAAGTATGATGCGATCCTTGGGATTTAAATCTATAAACACAGCTGTAACTTTATATTTTGTTTGTTTATTTCCTAGCATTCATCAAATGACCCGGGGCTTTATGACACGTGTTCACTTATAGCATGTTTACTCCTAAATTTTCGTTCTTCCAGATGAAATTTTCCTGATGATTTTTATAATGACAAAAAAATTATATATTTGTTGTTGATAACATTATAAATCAATTTTGTTGAAATGTACTACTGCGCCAACGATTTACACAGAACAAAATAGCTTTCATGTATATTGTTACTGGTGTGGGATTAATCACAATGTTCGGTTGGGTGGAAGAACAATATAAATAATTCATTTTACTAAAGCATCGTTTGATCCAAATGAGCGTATATGTTTTATTTATATTTATAAAAACATAAAAACCAATCTTCCATCACGTAATCATTGATGTTACTTATTACCAAACTTCTTGTTAATTGCAATATCGTAAAAATATCATCACCATGTTATTGTCAAAGAATTGAATAACTTGCATTAATGTCAACCTTAGAAATCTTATATTAAGTATTGATATTAAAAGGTGGTGGTAGAACTTTATATCTTTCATTATATCTTCATTATAATCTAGATGATGTTCTACGAAGAACCTTCGAATAAAAATGCTCTCGTGATCGGAAAGGACAAATTTGGCCACAATTACAAATACTATTTTTGTATGATTTACTCATTTGTTATTATAAGCATCAAGATGACGATTCTTGTTTGGGGAAAACATCATAATTAATACACGATCGGACTATGATTTGAATTATTTTCCCAAAGGCGTATATTAAAAATTTAAAAAACAATTAAATTATTGATTACCATAAATTGTGTGATATCATGGAAAATGATATCGAACAAGATGTGAAACCCCTTTTTTTCCCTTCAAAAGATTTAAAATAAGTCAGTACTTTCCTTTGTAAAAAAAATTTCAAAAAAAGAAAATTTATGTCAAATACTCTTTTAGCCGCAGCACTCAGTGCCGTTACAAATCTAAATGTTGTTACTTATGATGATTATGTTAAAAGAAAAAATGATGGTTGTTACGGTGAATTGAATCAAAAATCTCTTCATCAGTCTCATTTAGTTGGTGGTAGGGTACCTTACGCTGGAGTAAGATTAAATGGATTAGGCGGAGGTGGACAATTATTAGTTAAAACATTAACTGGTAAAACTATAACATTGCAAGTCGAATTTACTATGACAATTGACCAAGTAAAATTGGCAATTCAAGATAAGGAAGGTATACCGTCAGATCAGCAACGATTAATTTTTGCCGGTAATCAACTAGAAGATGGACATACTTTGAATGAATACAATATACGAAATGGATCGACCTTACATTTAGTATCGAGATTGAGAGGTGGAAGTCCCACTTTATATATTCTTCCTAATCACCTTGATCCAATATTCGATTATGATTTCACAGATATAAATGATGATGGGATGTATTTTGAACGAGGAAATTTTGAATATAAACGTCCTTGTGGTTGGGAAAGAATCGCTCTTAATGTTCTTGACAAATATGAAAATAATATTTGGCTTGGCGTTAACGGTAGAAAATCTTTAACAAGTTCGGCACAAAATGAATGGCCAGGTATAATTTAATTTTTTTTAAAAAAAAAAAACAAATTTATTTTGTCGTTATATACTTACTCATTAAAAAAATTTTTTTAATTCAATAATTTTAAAGTTTCTTATCATGGAACTGCTGAACATAATTGTAAATCAATTGCCAAAGAAGGTTATGATTTGTGTAAGGGTAAACGATTCGCATTTGGGCATGGAATTTATTCAACACCAGATATAGACGTCGCATCTATATTTGCTACTCAATTCATTCATGAGGAAGATAGATATCAAGTTGTATTTCAAAATCGAGTTAACCCAAATAATTTAGTTAGACTTACAAAGGAAGAAACTGGTATTGGTGAATATTGGATTTCACCAAATGGAGCAGATTTACGTCCTTATGGTATCTGTATTAAGAAATTTAATTAGTTTATTTTATTTGAATAATAATAATAAATAATTTTTTTGTTAAACATTCAAATATGTCTATTAAATATTGATCAAAAAAAAATATTAAAATGTGTAAATGCACGTGATTTGATAAAAATAAGAAAGCGGTTTGTTTTTGACGATTGTCGAACGTTCTTAAATAAATATTTTGATTGGCGCTGGCTATGGAAAATTTTCACATTATTAACTCAAAATCTATTCTTGTTTGTGTGGAACACTAGATTAAAAAAAAAATGAATAATTTCATTAGAGTTATCAAAGAAGAAATCAAAGGATTATGAATTTTGGATTTCGCAGACATATGCTGTTAAATATATATATTCAAGGATGTGTAACTTCAACGAATCTGGTTATTGATGTCACTATTTACTCATGAATATCCTGATATTCAATTCCTCTTGATTCTTCATTAAGACTCATAAAATAGCAAGATATGACAGAGGAAAAAGGTATTATCGTAATTTCCAATTGTCTTAGCAGTATTTACTTGCCAATCACTGCTGTTATGTTTTTTTTTCGATTTTTGATTTGCATATCAATAAAGGACATGTTGCTATGTTGAAATTTTGTATCATCACCTGAAATCATTGCAATTGGAATAATCAGATCCACTATATGTTGACCATGCTTACAAAATACTGCTGTCCTATGAAAAAAAATTTAACAAACATTTCCCTATTAGATGCAGTATTAGTATATGCAAAGTAATTAAATCTTATCTTACTATTGCAGAACACTAAACCATTGACAGTTTTATTGAGAACTGAATTAATTTCCTCATAGTATCCTTTTTCAATAAATGCATTGAGAAACTCTTCTATCATGATTAGTTTTAAGTGTTTGTTCTATCTGTCTTAAAGCTTAGATTTTAATTATCAAATGCTATTAAACACAGAATTCGCCTATCAGGTTCATATTACTTATTTATCTGCATAAAAATAATATGATTTTAAGTGAATAAATTACACTATCTAAAATTTTTTTAGGATTCTAGGATAGCTTTAACTGCTTCTGCTAATATTGGCTTACTTGAATATGTAATAATTAGTGATTCACATTTATCATCTATATGTGACTAATTAATTTAGATACTTGTTGTGAAACTCTAAAAATTTCAAATAGACTTATGTTTTAAGAATTGCTAATGATTGTTCTACTGTTAATTTTATTGATTCAATGTCTCTATGTTCATTGATTTTAACTGCTTTGTTATAATCATATAAAAGCTTTATTATAGCAAATTCCATAATATAAAGCTCTTTAATATTTGTCTATAAAGGGTATTCCATATTATGTATCTGCTGTATTGCTTAGGTGATTGTAATTTTAAAATTTTTTGATTAAGGCATTTAATAATCAAAAGTATCAAAATGATAAAATAGTTTGTATAATTATCATTTTTCCAAAAATATTCTATATGATAAATCATTATGATTAACAAGTAAAAAATTTGAAATTCTTGAAAATGTATCTGTGAAAAGAGTCAGAAATAATAACCTTTGATTTTAAATTCTTATGAAATATGCTATAATGCTTTTCTTATATAAATAAAAATTATTCTTTTCATTTAAATTGTTGTGATCAATCAATATGTAAACTTTATTAAAGCTAATAGCATTTTTAATAGAGAATTTTTTATTTTATCTAAAATGAGTATTAGCTTTATATATTCCTCTTCTAATTTTTCTATTTTTAAAGTATCTTATAATTCTATTTCTTTTATCATACTCCTTTAAAATATTCTTATATTCCAAACAGTTTAGCATCATTTCTATTACTAATAAAAATGTCAAACATATAATTATATATTTTGTCTAAATATTACATTTTAAGTTACTCTAATAATTTATTACATACCTTAAATAAAGCTAAAAAATCTTATATAATAGGTTTTAATCATATGCTTCTTTGGTTAAATAGTTAACTATAATTAAACAATTTAGGTAACTATTTATTTAGATTTACACAGACAAATATAGATTATTAAACTATTTTTATCAGTTGCTAATTCTCATAATAATCTTAATTTTTCTGTCTCATTTACTTATATAAATGATATATAAAAAAAGTAAAATTTATTTGATTTTCAACTTTTATATATCATCTAATAGTTTAAAAAGATATTAATATAATTCTTTCTAGATTTATTTAATTCTCTCCTAAATACTATTTTTAATTTAATATAATTTTCTTTTATTAATGTTTATTTCTTATAAACTTTAAATTTTTTTTTTTTTAAATAGATCATTACTATATGTTATGCATATAGTATACAGGATCTTAATCAAAAATGTGATTTTTTAAATTAAATAGTATTTATAAATACTAAATAAAGAATTAGGTATTATTTTAAGGGAATATAATAAACAGAGGATATTATATATGAAGATTATAATTACATAACTTTAATAATAAATATCAAAAAAAAAATTTATTTTTCCTTCTTCAGCTGTTTCTTATTATATATATAGCTTTCAATACACACTTCGTAAATATTGAGAAAACTTAATACTTTTTCTTCCTTTATATAAAAATTATGAAAAATGTTCAAGCAATAAAAGAAGACACTATATAAAATAATATTATAGAAGAAGCCTCAACCTCCTATATTAATAACATTATGCTTCTAAATTCTGCTTTTTTAACTTTATAAAATTAAGTAATCTATTAAAAAATCAGAGTTGAATTATAATAATAAGAGAATTTCTGGATGTAGAAATTAATACTTCTTTTTGAGTTATGGCTTAGCTCATGATATTTTCTTAAATAATTTATCTTATGATAAAAAAAAGATGCAAAAATTTTTAAATTTAAAAATTATTAACAACTATTAGTATTTAAAAAATGCTAAAAGAAAATTTTCACATATTACAAGCTATAAATTTACAAAAATAATATTGATAATAGAATACCAAAAAAAAATTAATGGTTATATTTTATCATAAAAATGAACATAGTGTTCGAGTCACTGCAAATAAATATAATATATAATTAAAACAAATTTGTGATTAGAAAAATAAGAAAAATGATTTAATATATGTAGCTTTATATATTCAATATTTTAATACTAGTATAAGGTCAAAATATTCACAATTTGGGATAAAGCTTTTAAAGTAGTTTCATAAGTTAAGAAGTCAATTAAAAACTGTAACTAGATATATAATTAGTACAAAAGTTTATAATTTAGCTAAAAAACAAGAATATCTTACTTTATATCCTGATATTCATAAATGTCAATTTCTTATAAATGGATAAATAGATTTATGTCTCATCATTTGTTAGTAAATCACTGATATACTACAGTTACATAAAGATTACCTGAAGAATATAATAAAAAACAACAAAATTTTCTCTCATATATTCTTTATTGAAGAACTAAATATAATTATCCTTTAAATTTAATTGGTAACATGAATAAGATATCTATAGCATTTAATTTACTAAGTCAGAAAACTATTGAAAAGCATGAAATGAGAACTTTTTAATTCTTACAATAGAATATGAATACACCTATTTTACAGTGAATCTTGCTTGTCTTATATAAAAATAGTAATGGTCAGTTATGATTAGTTAATTATTAGTCAATAGTCAATTAAAGACCTTTGACTAACTAACTGATTAATTGACTGATTTTAACTGACTGATTGACTGACTGTTTAATAATAATTTTTTACTTTTAAATATCCTAATTGTATATATAGGTTTTAATTTTAATTATAATAAATGATAATTTAAAAATTAATTTTATTTTCATCAATCATTTTGATAGGTATTATCATAAATTTTTTAAATATTTTAAATATTTTATTTAATTTTTGTAAATACATTTATTCTTTTAAAATATTAAATACAATATAATTTATTTTATTAAATCTACATAATATTTTATAAAATCTAACTATATAAATATAAACATGCTCTTACAGTATTTCCAGATAAATGATTTGCGATTTATATAAAATATGATCAATAATTAAAAAAGTTATTCACATAGAACTGAACTTACTTAAATATATAATTATTCAAATGCAAATTTTGATAAATTAGGATATTCAGTAGAATGAATTTTTTACTAATTCAAAGGTTTTACATCTTCTTCAGCTTTAGCAGAAATTCAATATTTATTAACTTTATCATCTGCATTTGTAATAATAGAATTTGCTCCTTTTAACTTCTTTAAAAAACTTAAAACTTTTTTGTTGATACAATAGAAACTTCTTGTTGTTATTATTACTTTAATAGATTTCTAATTAGTGATTGTATTTTATAATCTATCATTTCTGAAAAAAAATATTTTTTATATCTAGGATCTAAAAAGGCTGCAATATGAGATATTTTTTTTAATTTACTATAATAGTTATTAAATTTACTAATATTGACTTAACTATATCATTTAATAAATAATTATTATCATAATCAATTGCTAATAAAATTACTCTTAAATGTATAATAGTAAGATATTTTTGTGATGAAAGTTCAATTATTGCTTCATTAAATTAATATAAAAATTGGTTTAAATCTTTAAACAATTCCTATTCAGATTCATTTGAAAAAATATTTTTTAATTTAGGATTTTTAACTAATAATATTTGTATATTTTCTTTTAAACTATATGCATAATTAATCATTTTAAAGATTAAATTCTATCTTATTTATAATTCATAATCAGATAAAGAAATTGTTTATTATTTAACTTTGCAAATTTTCTAATTTTTCAAGTAATTTAATTGATTTTCAAATTGTTTTTATTAATTTTCTTAAATTTTTAATATGAGTTAATACAGTTTACAATCTAGTACTTACAACAATATTAAGAATATGAGCTACATATTAATATAAATAAAATTATTTGATATTTTTGATTTTAAAATATTTATACTGCAAATTATATTATTATTATTATCATTATTATTCCTAAAATTTTAGTTATTAATTCAAATTCTACAAATATATTATAAATTTTATCAGTAATTTCATTA